TGGGGCCCAGCCGTCTGAGCTGCATCTGATGTAGCTCAAGTTTGAAAACCACTGCTCTGGTGGACACCAAACTTGCCCCCTGACGTTCTCACTCAGAATCTGGTCTGGTGACCTGACAGCAGGCTCCAGAGGCTGGCTGAGGTTCTCCATACTCTGGGTTAGGACGCTGTCATTTAGAACTGGATTACTACCCCTGACAGACAGATGGGATCACGTCTATTCCAGGCAATGGTTACTTCAGAGGAAGGTCACTATTAATATAATAAAAGGCAGATACTAACATATTCAGATCACGGTTATTTGTGGTAAAACGAAATAGTTCTAAGGCCCTGCTGAGCCTATAAGCTCAAGTATATGCTCAAGAAAATTGCAAAGATTTTCAGAATGCAAATGAAATTTGCCATAAATAAAAATTTTATCCACACATTAACACACTGTGGGAGTATATTTATATTTACATTTTTAAAACTTCTATAAGTTTTATTTTTAATTACTTCATGCATATGTATTTAAAAATGTCATGAAGTTAACTTACAAAAATTCACATATTCAACATCTTTTCCATCCCAGAAATAAACACTCGATCTAAGAATGTGCTCTAAATGATCATTCCTGGGGGTGACTGGATGGCTCAGTTGGTGAAGTGTCTGCCTTGGGCTCAGGTCATGATATCGGGGTCCTGGGACGGAGCCCCACATTGGGCTTCCTGCTCAACCGGAGAGGAGTCTACTTCTCCCTCCTCCTCTGACCCTCCATCCCCTAACCCTGGCTCCTGCTCTCTCTTTCATTCTCACTCTCAAATAAATAAAATCTTCATTAAAATTCTTTTAAATTATCATTTCTGCCACAGGGTTAGAATATTTCTCAGGTTTGAGAAATATTTTTAAAGCTTAGGTGCAAAGCACTAGATCCTGTGAATATATAAAGATGAAAACAGCTACACACGATGCTTGTGCTGAGGAGAGAGCTGTAAGAAGACACGACTCCAGCATTCAGTCACTAGATAATCCAAATAATTGGAATAACTGGCTCCAAATTTTCACCACTGGAGATGGAGCATTTCCTTCCTTCTTTGTATTACAGCAAAGTGATACTGTTCCTCACTGGTGGGCATGGGGAGAGGGAGCAGAACAACATCGCTATGGTATTTAAAGCCCTGAGAGGTGAGAGGCCTCTCCCCTTTATTCCAAGTTTGGCTTTTGGACTGTAAGTCTGGTTGGGTGCTCCCAGCTGTACTCAGTGAAATGTGACCAAATAGCGGGTTATCTGGGCCCAAACAGTCCCTGAGCTGTTCAATCACTGTAATTAGCACAGTTGCTGTAAGCATGGCATCTTACATGGGCAGACTTATTAGCAAGGAGGAAGAAGAGAGGCCAGGGACCTTCTTTCCTGTCTGGGACCTCTTTGCTCACGAACAGATTCATCAGCAGGCTACCAGGTAAAAGTAGGCGATGTTCACACCATCAATTCTGCTACTTGTTAGCGGCTTTGGTAAGACAGGCAAAATAAAAAAGGGGGGTAAAAATACAACACTTTGGGGGAGGACATGTTGAAGTCAGTGTGCTCTTTCTCCTGAGGGATTTCTATAATCCTTGCTCTCTTTGGCACTCCTCATCACGGAAAATCCCAAGTTTTCGGCAGAAGATTTCACTCTATTTATTTTTGCTCTGCCCTACACTCCTCTTCATCCTTGTCCCAGTTAAGCAGTTTGTGAAATCTGGACCACAAAAACCACAGCAATGGAGAACCCAAAGGACAACCAAGGGAGTGTGCACAGACCTTCCATCCACACTCTCAGTCTAACAAAAACCAGCTTTCAGGAAAAGAGGTTTGGGATCAAAAAGAAAACCTGGGGTTGGAATAAGATAAAAGTTAAGCTTCAAATCAGAGTTCAAACACAGATGCTGCTGCCACCTTCGTTTCCATCAATCACTGTGAGGCTTTCATGATTTTACTAAAGGGAATTTAAAAGCAAAATCACCTGGGCCCAAGATGTTTGATTACTTCCTAGAACATTCTAGAACAATCCACTTTGGATTAAGTATGAATTGAGCATGATCAGGTGACTATAATGTAATACACAAATCCAAATAGAGTTCATCTGATACTCTATATAGTATCTTTTTGGATTTGAAAAATACATTGTCACAGAAAAAGAGATGAAATCTAGATTTCCTGGGTCAGATAATATCTTTAGAGTCTGTTGCTTTTAGATGATGCCTTCTGCCTTTAGAGTAACGATTCATCTTTACATGAACACTTAAAGTAATAGGCCCTGTAGAGGTTACTACAATCTAAGTAGATCCTCCTTTCTAGGTTAATGTTTCAGCATAAGCAAATGTAGAAACACCTCTCTCAACATAACCAACAGATGTGAATTGGTTACCGATACATATCGAGGCTTAAAAGGATAACTTTTCCCTTCTGCCGAGTATTAATACATTCATCCTCCCACCAGTCTTCTCAATCATTGGTACGTTTTTACAGAAAATTGATAAATCCCTCTCTTCCCTCCCTCCTGTCCATTCCTTTTCTCCTTCTCTCCCTCTACTATACAGACAGGGTTAAGGTACCATCATCCCTCCTTTCTGCACTAAAAGAACTATACATTTAGGTTTTCTGATTAAAAGAAACAAACAGATAAACATCAAAATGAGTATGTGCAAATCCAAGATGTTTTGGTGCAAAAATGTTTCAAAGGGAATCAAAGAGGGGGGTCAAGATACTCTTTAAGAAATACTATTCCTACATTTCCATTCTGCTTGTTTCACTCATAAAGTAGACTTGTTTGTTCCAACTTCCCCAGATTTTGAAGTTTTACCCAGTTCTTGAAATCTGCTAATATTCTTGGTAAGGACCAAAGTGTTGGGTCTTCAAGAATGATAGTATACCATTTGCTCTATAACATTTGAAAATGTGTCTAGTGATGGGAATGGATGGCACAGCAACATTACAAGGTCACCCCAGGCTGCTGCTGTTGGTGGTACAGGTCATTTAACTGGTGGAAGCTGATGATGTAACCAATCATACTTTTCCTTAGTGCTGAGACTAAAAACAATTCTCCCCTGGTTCAGTCAACAAGTTTAAAAAAAAAAAAGGCCAATGCAAATTCACTGAAATTGGAAAATGCAAAATGCTTCCTAGTCACGAAGTCTTTTCTGAACTTGATGTTTCCCAAGGTTAGCCTTCTGGGGTGCTAACAACATCAAAACACCTTAAGAGTGATACAGGGGGGAAAAAAAAAAACCAAGAGCAAAGACCTAATTAGCTCCACAGAGACACACCAGACAGGAAGAGAAGAATGTAAATCCTCAAGAAGCAGGCAAAACTACAGACATGAATCCTTTCTATCTAACTCGAATCCCTTAAACCAGATATTTGGAATCACCCTGCAAAGTAATAGGGCAGAGACTGACAAGTTTCCCTGTGTGAAGTTGCTGCAATCCAGACAGTGATATGGGGGTATAGCTCAGTGGTAGAGCATTTGACTGCAGACAGCGATATATACAAAAGTTTTCCAAAGGCATGAGAGAACGTACAAAAACTCACAGAATGAGAATGTAAGGAGACATGGAGAATCTGTCCTGGAGGAGACTGGGGGATAGCATAGTCTACAGGCCTGGAGCTGACACTTCTCTAGAATTCTCTCTTCTACCTCATTAAGCCAAATCTCTCCACAGTACTGTTTCCTGGACATGATCTATTTCAGTGTCACTATTCTCTTCTCCAACTCCCTTCACTCCTTCCTCATTTTCAGGCAGAACATGATGGCTACCACTCACAGTAGGAACCGAGTACCTATCTGCGCACGTCCACTCCTACTCTTGGGATGAAGTGGGAGGTATTCAGGAATGTGCTCTGGCGGAGCCTGGGCTACTTGGCTCCGTACCTATTGGATTTTATCACCCCGTGTCAGTGAAGGAAAGAAATAGCATGTCTGCAGTGAGACAAATAGTAGGGGCTCTGGCCCAATATGGAAGAAAGTAATCTTCAGGATTTGAGATCTGCAAACAGGAAAGAAGGGGACAAAATGAAACCCATGAGGATCTGACATTACTGACTGTCATCCCCAAGGCCACAATATCCTGTGGACACTGGTAGCTCCAATGACACCAGGAAAAATAAATCCGTGCCCGTACATCATCCCCCTGTCCAAAGCCTCTTTGCCAGAGCTTGCCGTCCCAGCCTTCTTCCCACCCAACCTCGATTATGACCTTCAGATTGGAGGCTTCTAACCATAGAGAGCCCCACTTACACCTCCCCCCACTTTGACCCTCATGCACAACTCTGGCCAGTTATCCAAGCCTTAGAGATATAAACAGATAATTTAGAAAAGAGTTTGCTTCCTCATGCATGTGTCTGTTGAACACACAGCAGCCCATCAAATGACCAAACATCACAAACCACGTGTCTCAACCTTCTTCTTCATTATCACCCCCCTCAAGAAGCTTTGTAGACATTTTCTTCCTCATCACACACCCCCATGAAATTTTAATACCATGGATATACTATATGTCTATTTATGTGATGTATACACATAAAAAGAGTACAATTTCTTTTATCTACAAAGAACCAATTTTCACCCCCTTAAGGGGAGATATAACCCCTGTTAAGAATGCATGATCTTGAAGCATGAAGCAATTAAAAATACTGTGCCAGAAATATCTAATTCCTGTTTCCCTAATACTGCACTATACTAAGACTATAAATCACCCAAAACAACATCTTTCCTTTAGATCAATAATCTGTACTAAAGAGCTCCAGTCAAGCCAAGTCTTAATCTCCCAAGAGTCTAAAACACAAATCATCTTCCTTTGGAACCTATTGCCTCTTCCTTCACCTGTCATAAGAAAGCCTAAGAATTAGTAAGTGTCACCCTCGGGTTAATGCCAAACCCAAAGAAAGTTTCTTCCTTCCACCTTAAGACATTTTAGTTAAATACTAAAACACAAACACAGTCAACCCGTTTCCCCTTCCAGAAACTAGATAACTGTACTTACCTCTTGCCGTTTGAAGTTCTGGACATATTCTTCAAACTGCTCATCTTTTGTCTCATCAGCTTTCCCAAGCTTCTGAAGGACCTAGATGGCAAATAAAACAAAACAGTTTGATTCAACATCTTCAAGTAACAGGCAGAGCAAAGCTGCTGTTTTGCTCTTTTGAGGAGACATCACTCAGCATAGCCAGTTTTTCTTTCCTGGAAGCATCTAGGCTTGATGGCTTGGGGTTGATCAGTCTTGGATTTTAACCAAGTTAAGTAACCCACAGGCTAAGCAATGTAATGCTACATTGCATTCATCGACTTACATATCTGCTTCCTCCAGTAGGCAGAGGCAAAGCTCTGTCTTGTCTTCTTGTCCAAAGCATCTGGTACAATGTTCAATGCATAACAGGTACACAGTTGTTTGTTAAACAGTAAACCAAGGTTATGCCCCTGAAGAATTACCTACTTTATAGGGATGGTATTAGAATTAATGGAGACAGGCCCATGGCAAACTCTCCCCCACCACCCTCCAATATGTCTTTCAACTCCCTAAAAGCTCAAAGAGGCCCTGAATAGAGACTGGATATTAGCAACCCAGAGCATTAGGGAATGCTGTGTGGAGCTTATTCAAACTATGCTGGCAATCCTAGCAGACAGGAATGTGGCCAACTACATTCCAGCCAAAGAAGCAGCCTCAGCAGAGATCACTGGAAAAATCATTATATATTGTGGTACTGGGCAGGAGGTGTTCTGCCTTCCTAAAGCACCAGATGGGGTTCTAGGAGAAGGAGTTCTTCGAGAGAGAGCAGAAAGTTACTTGGAGACAGAGTAGAAGGATCCTGAGACCCATAACTGGGTTCTCTATTCAATAGTCCCTTATCTAGGTTCTAAAACACCAGGTCGTTTGAGAATTTTTAAAAACTCCATAAACACTGCCTTAATGAGTTGAAAATTATTTATATGAAAATGTTGTCCTTAACTTTTGAAAAACTGTCACAACAAGATCATCTTAGAAGTGTGTTGTAAATGCAAGACATTGTTACTGTTATTTTTGTTGTTACCATTGTGGTAAGAGAGAGAGGGCAAATCAAAATCACACAGGCCACACTTGCTAGAGAAAGAAATTCAATGACAGAGATTCTTGACCTTGTTCTACGATCTCCCCCCATCCACTCCTGTATTTTTTGTTCCAAAGTAAAAATGACTTTAAGAAGTCGTTTGATAGCTTCTTTATTCTACCTTTTAAAAAAATTTTCATTTTGAAGCCAGGTCCCCCAAAGGACCTCTTGCCACACACATAAACACTAAGAGTATCGGGGGAGGTACCTATCATTAACTATGTGACCTTCCCTCCTGATTCTTAACATTTACTATTTCGTCAATGTTTGGCTACTCTAGAGCTGCTACATCTTTGAGTAGCGGCAACACCGCGTCTGTTGGCAGCAGTTCCCAAAAGCCAAGAGAGGCTGTCAATTTCTCCTGAGCAAGCCACATCAACCCAACCACTTTCCACGCAGTGCAAAGGCACTGTGATCTCAGGAGTGGCAGAAAAGAGAAAGATGTTTACAGAGCCTCCATTATGCACCTGAAACCTCAGAGAGTGATTTACATGTTACGTCTGTCTTTCATTCTCACAACACTCACAGCTGCTTCTTATTCTATCCATATAGCAAATGAGGAAATAAGACAGAGTGAGCAGCTTACCGGAGACCCTCTGGAAAATTCCCTTTTTGAGGTCTGGTACCCCTGTCCCCACCCACAGATAGCCTGTCCTTCTTGTGGGAAGCAAGTGGGATTTACACATCCTGTCATTCTCATCTGAGATTCCTGGAGGCCACAATACTCTGAGAAAGACCCATCTTCGATATCTACCACTGGGAAGGGGATTCTTCACAGACCCTTTGCTGAAAGTCTGTTATTTCAATTTTAAATCATGACACCTTGCATTTCATATTTCTAGAAATTATTCATATAATTAAAGTAGAAAAAAACGACCCAAAAAACTGCTCCTAGGTGTCAAAGAGAGAATTATAATTGGATTACACCATAAGCCTACAAGCCTACATTCTCTCTTCTAAAGACTGCAGTAAAGGACCCAGACCTCTGTGAGTTATAGCACACCCACATCTTGATGGCAGCAGCCAGAGGAGAGATGGGAAAGGCACGAGTCAGGGGCAGCAAAAGATGTGGACTTTGCTAAGGACTTTCTCATGCCAGTCACTGTGATAGGGGATTTTATTAATTCACCTGATTCTCATGGAGCCTACTCACTCCTATTTTAATTGCATCAACAGCATAAACTTACACTGACAAAAAGCTGGTGGGGGGGGGGGGGGTTGGATGTATCCCACAATGAGAATCGGGATTCACAAAAAGACCTTCTCCTGCAAGATGATATTCAACGGGGATAAAACTTGGATCAAAAATGTAATTGTACAAGTACTGAATTTATGACATCAACTTGCAACCAACATCAACAGAACAGATGCTAGGAATATGTGGCTTCCACCCTTCGGGAGAAATAAGGGATGACTTTCGCAGATACTCAATACGCATCAACAAAGTTATGTTGCTGGAAAGCTCCTCAGGCCACACGAGAGCAAATGGGAGAGCAGGACTGCAGGCTTCCCTGCCATGGACAAGGTGGTGAGCACAGAGAGTCACAGCCAGCCTGGAACCAGCTAAACGGAATCCCGAAAGCACAGAGAACTGATTCCCTGAGGTAAGAGGAAATTTCGATGTAACTAGAGATATTGCCAGGGAGAAAAGAAGAGGAAGAGAGTGCAGTTGTCTTCAAAGACTGAAGGGTAAAGAAGGTGGTAAAAAAGGATCAGATTGTTCCATTAGAAACCAAGATTGAGGACTAGCATCAGTAGGTAAAAGCTATATATAAAACATTTGGCACAAATCTATCAAAGTTTTCTGGAAACTAGTTTGTTGGTAGAGGTAATAAGTTCACTGTCCTAGCCATTATCTAAGCGCTTGAAGCAGTAGTTACAGGGACCAGAGAAGATTTATCCATCAAACAGGTGAACAAAATAAATATCTTCTAATTCAAATTTGATTTCTCATTTCGGGTATCTTCTAATTCTCAAAGCCATAATAAATCTATCAGGTTTGAGTGTATCAACTTTATCAAGTGTATCAAGTTTACCCTACAAAAGAAAGCAAATCACCATGAAGGCAGAGAAGAAAGTCTATTCACTTAGACCTCCAGCTGAAGCGGACGTACTGGAGACTGCATGCCAACCTCCATGCAAGGTGCCGCAAGGCGCAGCCGAATCTAGGGACCAGGAGCCTGGTGATGCCGAGGCATGAGGTGCAAGAAGGGGAGCTTGTGGGGGGACAAGGCTGGTGTGGGAGGAAGATGGCAGATTACAGAGGGGATTAGTCTGCACAACTAAAGACTGTAATTTTCTCCTATAGACGACGGTGAGCCAATGAGGTGTTTCCCTGGAGGGGGACACCCAATTAGACCTGTGCACCTGGGTGGCAGTGATCAGGACAGATTAAGAGATGGTGGAACCAGTTAAGAGACTACACAGGCAATGTGTAGTCTGAGCCTGAGCTAGGAGACAGATAGGACAGACCCTTAAGAAGTACTTACTGGCTTACGAGATGGACAAGGTAGGGACAGAGACCATGCGAGGATGACCTCGCTGCCAGCTGTTGGGATGTAGGTTGTGGTTAAGACGCCAGGGAGGGAAATGGTTCCGATGTGGTATTAGGAAAGTTAAGAACCAGAAACATGCATCAGGACTTTGGATGAACTTGAAGGCCCAGCTAGAAAACTCATTTCAGCAGTTTGGTCATTTTTCTCCAGCAGCCTCAAAAATGGGGGTAAACCCTGGGGAAAAAAAATATATGTTTATAAAAAATAAAAATAAATAAATAAATAAATAAAAAATGGGGGTAAAATTGATCTGCTACAGTAAAAGTACCTTAAGGCAACAAAAATACTGAAACCTGGAACTGAGAGGATTAAAAATATCTTCTACTTGTTTTCTGTCACCATATCTTACAGTGAGTTTCCAGCTTAGGTGGCCTCTCTCATTCCCTATTCACTGGCCACCTCAAAAATATCAATTAAGCCTGAACGGTTTGGTACCACTGATGTTACAGGACAATTACTATACATTCATGTATCTGATATTTATGTTCTGACAATGCAATAACATCCACCTACAGGCAAAGGGCAGACAATTCTGTGCTCATGCATTTTGCTTTATGTCAATTTCATTTGCACTGACGCCTTACTATTTTGAAAACAATAGGATTTTGTTGTCACTTTCCTTGCCACTGTTTTCAAATGTAAAATTCCATTCTACGTTGAATAAGCTTTTTCAAACTGCCTTTCTGAAGGTGAGATTCTGAATCATCCCCATAAGTCTGGCTGCTTCATGCTCCCACCTCAGGCCTGAGGTTCAGAAGTTCTGATCTGGACCCCGGGCAACGAACCGAGGGTCTCAGAAAGGAAGGGGTAACCGTGTGACGGGTATTGAGGAGGGCACATGCTGTGATGAGCACTGGATGTTATATGTAACTAATGAATCATTGAACACTACATCAAAACTAATGTGACTACAGTGACTAACTAAACATAACAAAAAAAGAAAAAGGAAAAAAAGAAGAAATTCTGATCTGATCACAAAAGACAGCATGGACCAGGTGAATAAAAAATTAAATAGGAAGGAAAAGCAGGAATATGGTAGCTCAGAATAATTCCACTAATAAATCTTCTTGCAAGTGTCTCCTAAAGCAGTCAGTTCCCCAGCACAGTTTGCACAGGCTCCTCCAAACATGGGAATCTCATGTTTTTTAGAGTGATTTTCTAGAATTGTTCAATTAATTGTAATTTATTCATGAAATGTTAATTGTTCATGAAGTGGTCAAGTAAGGTCCCTAAAAATTCAGAACTCTTTGATTTGGGCAGTTTCGCCATACTGTAAATGTACTATTTCGATCAAGGTTCAAATCCTCATAGTCCAGAGCAAATAAGTACTGACTGAAGGCTGTAATAGGAACAGAAGAATTGCCCTCTTTGCATATTTTTAAATTAGGAGTGGAATGCTATGTTGGCGGCTTTCAAAAAAGGTA